ATTTGAGCAAACTCCAGGAGATGGTGAAGAACTAGGAAGTCTTCTTCTCCCTGGTGGCACTAGTGGTAAAGAACCCGCCTGCCAATGCTGGAGACATAAGAGATGCAGGTTCGATACCTGGGTTGGGAAGATTTCCTGGGTTGGGAGAAGGCCATGGCAACCCACTCGTGTTCTTGCCTGGAAAATCCCATGGACAGAGGAGCCTAGTGAACTGGGATCATAAAGAGTGGGACACGACTAAAGTGATTTAGCATCAATGCACCTATGTGCCAAGTGTTTTACATCAATTACTAAGACATTACCAGCTTATGGTCTAAAGAGTAGACTCTGGAGTCTGACTGCCTGGCTTTGGATCTTGGCTCTGCACTTCACTGGACTTCAGTATCTTTATAAAATGAGGATGATGATAATAGTACTACTATCATAGTAATAATAATATGAAGGGTATAGCACTAGTCTCATTTGACAGATGAAGAAATTGACGTTTAAACAGTATTTAACCCAAGCACATTTGGCTAGTAATTGGCAGGCAGAGGCTTGACCCAGATCTTTTTCAAGTGTGTGGATCAAATTAAATCTAATTCCCCTCCTCTGTTTCTGATCATGGAGCTGAGACAGAAATGGGGCAGGGCACAACCTTTAAAAGAATGACTTAACTGTTGAGGACACAACATATACCTAAACTGGTTAGACTGACGAGGTCCTCTAAGAGGTGGACGATTCGATTTCCTGTGGACCATGAGCTTCATTATAGGCTCATTGTTATATATTACCATCTGCTAAGTGACACACCCACAGATGCCAAGACAGTTCTGAAGCCAACCATCAAAGGCAAAAGTGTGGGTGGTGACACTGGTGGCCAGTTTCAAGAAATTTCCACTGCTTCCCCGAAATAATTGGAGTAATTCTCCCATTCATTAGCCTATGAAATTACTCAGTCCTGGTGGTTCAGATGGTAAAGAATCCACCCTGCAATGCAGGAGATCCCGGTTCAATTCCTGGCTCAGGAAGATCCCCTGAAAAAGGAAATGACTACCCACTCCAATATTCTTGCCTGGAAAATCCCATGGACAGAGGAGGCTGCTGGGCTAGTCCATGGGATCGCAAAGAGTAAGACACGACTGAGCATCTAACACTTTCACTTTGTTTTTCAACTTAACTATGACTCACTCTTGAATTCTTTCCTGCTCAAAGCCAAGGACCCTCAATTGGTGGCCAGTCCCAGGGATTCACTCTAAACCTGGGACAGAAGCACTCATGTTCTAGTTGCAGAGAGTGTAAATCTGTATGATCTTTGCCCTCTCCTCCTCTTCCCTTCAAAATCAGTCGCCACTTGCTAAAACTCACTGGTTTCATGCATGCTCCCCCTCCTCTATGCCCGAGGCATTATTCACATCCAGTTTCCTATGATTGTCCAGCCAGATCTTTGAAAATAACTTCACTTCTTTCCTCATGAACACTGGTTCTCTAACTGGTGTCCTTACTCTGAAATCTTCTGCACTCCTCCCCAATTAATCTGACCATGTGACTCCCCATTTCAAAAACCAGGAATGATTCTCCATTTTGGACCAGATAAAATCTAGCCTTTGTAGCTTCTCTTTTCTATGATCTGACCCTGAACTCCCCTCTTTTTTTTTTTCTCTTTCCTCTACAATGCCTTCTCCACATTTTCTCCCCACAATATGTCCCAAAAGGTCACCTCTCCACTTCAGAACTCTTCTAGAACTTTATCTTTACCCAACATACTTCTGTGCAATCAGTAATCATCCAATAACCAACTGAATGAATGAATGAACTTCAGTCGTGAATTCTAATTCTGAAGGGTCTGGGGGCTCACTCTCGTCAATGTCCCTACAACTGGTGTTCTCAACCACAGCATTTTGGTTCATGTGAGTTATGTTATAATTAATTTGTTTCTAGTAACAAAACACATTTCCAAATTATTTGTTTTTCTAATAACCAGAGTAGATTCAAGATGATCCCTATAAGAAGGAAGGAGGTCCTTGCTTATTTGCACTGTTATGATTTCTAAAACATAAAGAATAGCATGTAACTGTAACTAATGCACTGAGAATTACATGGATCCTGCATTTTATATATGCCACAGTCTTTAATGAGCTATTATTACTGATTTCTCTAATAAAAGACAGTATTTTTAACAAGCAAATTAGCAAAATTTTCCTTGAAAAGTGACATTTGAGATCTTGAATTAAATAACTTCATGATTCACATGCTTATAGAATACTTTTAAATACATCTCCTCTCTCATAAAAAAAAAAATTTGGCACTATTTTTTTAATCTAGTGTGTACGTGGAATGTTCCAGACATGGAACTCCCATTTGTGTGGGCCAGCAAGGCCCAAATATTGAGGCTGCAGTGTTTAACACAGTAGCTACTAGCCATACGGGTTCTAAGCACTTTAAGAGTGGCTTGCCCAAATTGAAATGAGCATTAAAATATGCACTGGATTTCAAAGACAGTATCACAAATAAAGAATGTAAAGTATCTCATTAATACTTTGTATTTATTATATGGTATATGGTCCAGCTCTCACATCCATACATGATTACTGGAAAGACCATAGCCTTGACTATACAGACCTTTGTTGGCGAAGTGATGTCTTTACTTTTTAACAAACTGTCTAGGTTTGTCATAGCTTTTCTGATGAGAAGGCAGAGCGCCAAAGAATTGATGCTTTCAAACTGCGGTGCTGGAGGAGACTCTTGAGCATCCCTTGGACAGCAAGGAGATCAAACCAGTCAGTATAAAGGAAATCAACCCTGAATATTCATTGGAAGGGCTGATGCTGAAACTGAAGCTCCAACACTTCAGGCACCTGACACAAAGAGTCAACTCAATGGAAAAGACCCTGATGCTGGCAAAAATTGAAGGCAGAATGAGAAGAGGGTGACAGAGGCTGAGATGGTTGGATGACATCACCAATTCAATGGGCATGAACTTGGGCAAACTCTGGGAGATGGTGAGGGACAGGGAAGCCTGGCGTGTTACAGTCCATGGGGTTGCAAAGAGTCGGACATGACTTGGTGACTGAACAACAACAATAACTACATGATGTATCTTAGATATTTAAGGTTAAAGAAAATATCTGAAAATTCATTTCATTTGTTTCTATCTTTTAATATGATGAGTAGAAAGTATTAAACTACATGTGCGGTTTACATTTGTGGCCCACATTCTGTTTCTTTATTGGAAAGTACTGCTATAATGCAGAAATACCCAAGAGGTTTGTCTCAGATGCAGATTGCCAGGCCTGGAATCTAGTTCAGCTATCTGTATTTTAGGCAGAGATCAGCAGGAACTACATAAAGTAATAAGAGTGTAATTCTTTCCTGATTCTCCTCCCACTATCAATGCCTGTTTCTCTTCCTATTTCTCAGTTGCAATTACCAAAAAAGAGAATCAGTTTGGCCTAAATAATCATAAGTGATGCTCTTTAGTCAGAGCTTTTGGGTCAGGCTACTTCACAGGTCTCTGACCTACAGATTGAGTCTCCTTAGGTAAAGTGTCCACCCCTAGACCAATCCACTGTGACCAGTGGGGAAGGTGGAAGAGGCGAGGGTCAAATTAAACAGAGCACAGGAATGACCCGGAACCTCACCTCTCAGCAGGAGTTCTGGGTGCCCAGCTTTGTTTAGAGGGGACTGTGGGAATGCCTGGCACAGACTGGACTGGCCAGCAGTGAGTTAATTCAGAAATTAAAAGAGCATAATGTACATTCAAAGGCCCTGTGAGCACCAGAGCCAAAGATTGATTATTTCCTGAACTACACTCCAGATACAATTTCAGCCAAGCCACTCTACAAATAACAGTGATAGATCTAGCCTTTAAAATATTTCAGTCATATCTAACAACCAGCTTTTCAGGCTAAACAAGGAATTTAGGTGGGGAGAGATGTAACGCGGAGGCAGACAGGATAGTATCTGGAATATAGCCAAGGGATCAAAGCCCAGTCCCAAGGATGCCATTACATCACCAATCACCATACAACCTTGGGAAAGACACCTTAACCCCTCCTGCACAGACTTATCATCTTTACAGTTTACAAAACAACAGGGATTGTGACAATTAAATAGAATGACAGATGTAAAGGTGCTTTATAAAGTTAGAAGAGCTGCACAAATGTTATATGAGTACGTAGGAGTTGTCATCAACTCTATGTTTACTCATGAAAGAGTAACCCAACAAAACATCTTATCTCAGTGAATATACCCAGCACAGGGGCTGTCTTGTTTTATTTCTTCAACCTTGTCGAAATGTTGGAAATGTTAACTGTCACTTCTCATCCTCTCTTAGCACTTATCTCCAGCCATAGCTTCATCTGTAATATGCTTTCAGGAATTCACCTCAATATATCAAACTCTGCCATTAGGCCAGCTGCCCACCACAAGTCAAGGAGTATGTATTTAAGAGAAATATAATCAGTCAATCCTGCAGCTTATGAAGCTGTCAGCTGAATATAATGGTCACTTTTTCCAGTAACTGTCAGAATATTCAAGGTTTACAACATATTCTAATGCCCTCTTATAGCATTTCTGTTTAAATAATCCAAATGGTGAGGAAAGTCATAAAAGAAAAGCTTAGGTACCATGTTTTAAGCCCAGATTTATTTCCACATAATATTTTGGGAAAACAAAACACAATTTTCTTCATGTTATACCCCATTTTCTTTCCACAAGCTAAATTAACTTCCCTCTGCCAAATGTGCTCAGTTTTACAGAGACCCAATCCAGGAATACTGAGACAGTCTTCATTTTTTGGTTCCTTTATGGAGAGACTGACACTTCTACCAGATTGATAACAATAGGAGAAAAAGGTTTACCAAATATTTGCATAATTGAGAAACCCAGGGGTTTCCATGGCTTCTGAAAAAAGGAGCTCTGTATCTTTAAGGCTCCATGGCGCTCTCTCTGCTCGCGATGCAGACAGAGCAGGTTCTGCCGCAGAGACTCATCCTATCGATAAGGTTCTGTTAGCCAAGGTGGAGGATGGGAAAAGAATGGAGCTGTCCCAGCTACTCAATGAGATCAGGGCAAACTATGAAAAGCTCCTCACCAGAAATCAGATAGAGACCGTGCTCTCAACAAGGATCCAGGTAATGATTTCATACAGACAGGCATCTTCCAGGATAAGGAGACAATCCATGTCTATCCAATTCCTGTCCCGGCCTCTCTGAGGTACAGTATTTCCTTTTCAATGCAGCATATACTGGGGAAGGAATTTAGGTTTTACTGCAATGTGACAGGGACTTTAGGGGGAAAGGCTGTGTGTATTACTGTTAAAGGACCATTAAATGAATGTTGATTGATGCATTTGATTTTTATATAAACCATGAGGTTACTGTCATTAACAAAACATGGGATCAGTATACAATAAAACGATGCACAGTAATCTCTTTTAGAATTTTATAGGAAGGAAGCATTTCAGATACCCTTGGAAGATATCATGGATTTACTTGTAGAAATAATTTAAATAACACCTTTAAAATGACAAGCTTTATAGTGAATTTATTATCTAGCACACTTTGCAAGATAAAACTAAGTGAAATATTTCTAAAAGGCTTCTATCATTTTTTTTTGAGTTTGATTTTATACCAGACTGTTAAAAACAGAAATCATGTGAGTATGTGAACATGGTATTCAGAAACAATGATATAAATTGGGACACTCAAAATTCTCCAAATCAATAAGGACTTTCCACTTTGACTATAGATTTTTTTGCTTTTGTACTAAAAGGTGAGAAATGTTTATCTCTAACACTAAGCATGTAATATTTAAGTACTGTTTAGAAAGAGAGCCAAATTAAATAAGGGCTAAATCCTCATTTCATCAACACTTTGCTTTAAAATGACAATTACTCTTAGCACTTAATTAAGGTCTCCTCTCTAAACAAGTGGACAAACATCTATTTTAGAAACAAAGCTTCAGAAATTCAGGGGTTTGTTTTTTTGGGGGGTTTTTTTTGTTTTTTTTTTTCAGTTTACCTATCATATCTGAGTTCAAGTTCTATTCCAAGCACCCAAACACAGTAAAGAGTTTACTTAAGAACATCACCATAAGGGAAAAAAATATTGCTGGGAAATCATAGGACCTTATTGTATTAGTAATTCATTTTTAGTAACATCATAAATGTAATCTCTAGGTAGCATTTTCAGTCTTCATAAAGAATGACCAGCATCTCAGATGAAGCAAATTCACTGAGATATCTGAAGTGCTGCAAGAATTCACTCACCTTTTACAAAGAGAAGAAAACAATTAACAGATGACAATTTCTGAAAATTATAAACCAAATAAACATTTTATTTTGCAATAATAGAAATGTAAGTTACTTAGTTTACAAGTCACAATGCTGAAAGACTAAAGTGAAAAAGCAAGACTACAGTAAGTTTTGTTTCCTTTTAACGTAAAACTACTTTAGGGGACTTCTTTTTTTCCCAAAGAATTCAGAAAATCAACTGGAATAAATTTGAGAAAGCATGATTACTTAATTATTACACAATAAATGTAAGCTCTTTTAGTTATTTACAGATATACAACAAACCACTCTAGAACTTGATGAATTAAAAAGACAATTGTATTGTCTTTCATATTGCTGTGGGTTAACTGGGTTCAGTGGGGGTGATTCTTCCACCGCACATGACATTGGCCAGGACCGGAGTCATCTTGGGGTACAACCAGGTTGGGCCAGCCCACGTGGCTTACTCCCGCGTCTGGCACCTTGGCAGGACATTTCTGGAAGGCTGGCTCAGCTGAGACAGCTGGGCCTCTTTCTCTCCATCTGGCCTCTACACAGTCTCTCCAACAGGCTATCTGGACCTCTTATACATTGAGGCTCCCAGTGTATACCAGGGCTCCCAAAAGCACAGAAGTGGAAGTTGTCAGGGCTTCCTAAGGCTTAGGCCTACAACTGGCACATCTTCTATATTGTGCTGACTAAGGCAAGACACAAGTCATCCCAAATTCAGTGTGGAACAGGACCAAACAAGGACATGAATTTGGGGAGGAGTGATTCACTGAGAGCCATCTTCAGAATCTAGCTACCACACAAGCCTAGCTGCCAGCTCCTCACTCAAAATCCAGTAGGTACCAGAATTTTTATGCTCTTCTATTTCTGAAATTCTTGTCCTCCTCTTTTGTGGTTTCTCTAATACGTGTTGCTGCTTTGTTTTGCCAACCTAACGCTAAGAATAAGTGACACAACAAATCAAAAGAAATGAATGAATTTTGTCATGTAATTCCTTGAACTATACTTAATTGACTTTCATTTAATCCAATATTTCCTTTAAAAAATCTATTGTACCACCAAATTAATTTTTGTATGTTTTAAAATGCACTTTTATATGAACATTAAAAAATTCTAATTTTTGCCTCAAAATAGTACAATCAATTCCATACATTGCTCCTACTGCTCCTGTGGCCAAATGTTGAGAATTCTCTCAAAAGATACTTTCATTCAATCCCAGAATCCGCATAAGAACACTTAAAGTTGAATATAAACTAATTCACTCATTATTTAACATGAGAACATTTAGAGAGCAGTCTTTAAAGAAGTCATTTTGCTACCACCCTAGATATCCAAAGTTAGCATGCCTTCTAAAAAGATCATTTTGAAAAAGGTGAATCAACAGTGGATTCTTTTAATATAGAAGTCTATTTTAGAATCTCTAATGCCTATGAAAACTTAACTCTCTAAATTATTCATAAAATATTTTCTAGTAGTATTTACTTCCTGTCCATATATCCAGTCCCAGAAATAATTGATTCATAAAGTAGCTTATAAGAAAAAAGTGGGGGAGGGGGGAAGAAGTAGCTAATTTTCTATCTTTCTTCCTTAATGATGCCATAAATAATGGAAAGTTAAGAATCAGAGGTCTCAAACTTTGGCCTTGCAAACTTACTTCTCATTAAAATGTATTTTTCTGCATTTTATAGACTGTCATGGTAGGAAAGGACTTTCGAGGTTCATTTTACGTCTGAGAATACCGAGGCTAAGAGTGCAATTAACTCACGCATGTGTTTAATTAGTGACTGAGCACCAACCAGAACATACATCTGTAATCTAAAGAAAAAAAGATTTGATTCCTATCCTATTTGTCTATAACTGCTTTTAAAGGTCTCATTTTCAAAAGTGCTCTTTTTGTTGTTGTTGTTGCTGCTATTGTTGTTGTTGGCTTTCTTCTAGTTGGAAGAAGATCTAAACAAAAAAATGGACAAAGATGAAGAGGCTTTAAAGGCAGCTCAAGCAGAACTCAAGGAAGCCCGACGCCAGTGGCATCACCTGCAAGTGGAAATTGAATCCCTGCATGCTGTGGTGAGCACGACCTCAAGGCGGCTGGCCCACTGAGTCCCCAGATGTTATCTGACTAGGAGAGGGAAAGAGTGACATCCCTTACTGGACAGTGAAGAACTAAAAATCAGGGCACTGAATTCTATCCATTTGACCTAGTTCAACTAGCGCCCTGCCTCCATCATGGCAATGTCTGTCATCAGTTCACTGAAGGTTTAGTTCACACTTACAATAATGAAATAATCCTTACTCCAGAACCCTGGGGTTCTCTAAATGTTAGAATGGGGGAACAGAGCTTTTGTCATTATCCGAAGTCATAACAGTGGAGGATTCTTTTATCCATGCTACAAAGACTTCTAATAGAAAAATATTTAAAAATTTTCCGAAAATGCCTTTTATAAGGAGTCTGCTCTGGCTTTAATATTCAATATTCTATACTTTTCAATATTTAAGAAATCAAATAAATCAGGGTGATAATAAACTAATCACACTGCAGGTTCCTTTGGTGGGTGGCAGCGGGGCTGGGGGGGCATAAGAATGATCACAGGATTCCTTGGAAATAGAAAACTCTCTAGCTGTAGATAGAAAATACAACTTTTTAAAAGTTGTGCCATACCTAAAGCTGTAAGGAAATACCTCTTGCATAAGTGCTGTACAATTATTGCAACCTTTTTAAGAAAGAACTCAAATGAGTGAAGACATTGCAAATCAGATTTCAGAGACACAGTTTGTTTCCTTGATTCACTGATGAAGATCTGTATAAAACAGGAAAGGGGCCTTGAAAACTCCCTACATGCCAGTGAGCAACATTACCAGATGCAGCTGCAAGACCTAGAGGCAGTGATTGAAGGACTAGAAAAAGAGTTACAGGAAGTAAGGCGTGGCATTGAAAGGCAGCTTCAAGAGCATGAAATGCTCCTCAACACCAAGATGAGGCTGGAACAGGAAATCGCAACATATCGCCGCCTCCTGGAAAAGGAAGAAATCAGGTACCTAATTTCCATATAGTGAATGACCAGAAATACAGGGCCACTTAGGTCACTGATGTAGTCAGAAAAATTAAATCTAAAAACCTATCATTACCAAGACATGATCACTGAGTTCCTACCACAAAATAGGCACGGCAAAAAAATAAGTGGGAGAACTAGTTCCAGCCCCCTCAAATTACGAGGGACTTTCTCGATGGCTCAGTCAGGGAAATAATCTGTCTGCAATGCAGGAGACATGAGTTTGATCCCTGGGTTGGGAAGACCCACTGGAGAGGAAAATGGCAACCCACTCCAGTACCCTTGCCTGAAAAATCTCATGGACAAAGGAGCCTGACAAGTTATAGTCTGTGGGGTCGCGAAGAGTCAGACACGGCTGAGCGACTAAGCACACCCCAAATTATGAATAGACGAGCCAAAGTCGGGGACTTGAGCTACAAGAAAGAGTATAAGCAAGCCTGGAACAAAATAGAAATGATCCTCCATCACTACAAAGACCTTCTTTAATATTCTCACTTTCCCTGCCATTCACCCCTTATAGAATTAGTGCCTCCAATAGACCACCACGAAGGAAGTTTGAAAAATGCACACGTTACTGCTTTTCCCCCTCCCACAAGGGCCCACTCCAGGCACACATCAAACTCCAAAATAATAATAATACTATTAGTAATAGTGTTGTTACTATTACTATTATATTACAACCATGGAAAACAATGTTATTCTAATTACATGGTTTGAAAGACTTCCATATACTCTGACAACAAAAGGCATCAAAAGAGGGATTCTTAATAGTTCACACACAGTTTCATAATCTGCAATCACTTGTAAGTTCATATGACTTGGAGCACAGCACAACCTACAGTTTTCCATATTCCCAGAAAAATAAAGCTTTATTTGTATTTGCTTCAGAATTCTGAGTCCTCTATAAAACTGGGTGAAACTACTATCATCTATAATAAGTCTTGACATTTACCAAATCCTTGCAAAACATAAATTGAATTAAAAATACCATTTAGTAGCTAAGTGATGCTGGGCAAATTATTAAATCTCTCTTTGCCTCAGTTTCTCATCTATAAAATGCCTACCTCAGAATTGCTGAGGATTAAATGAATTAATGTTTGTAAAGTGGTTAAAACAGTGCTATGTAAATAAATTATATAGCTGTATATATGTAATTCATTTATTATGAAATAAAATGGTTGTAGATTTGGTTTAATGCCTAATCATTCAAGATGTTGATAAAGTGGTCTTCAACATTCCTTTAACACAATTTTTAAAGTTTTATTATGCTATATTTAAGATACACAGGTATTTGGGCTTCCCTGGTTGCTCAGACGGTAAAGAATCCGCCTGCAATGTGAGAGACCTGGTTCGATCCCTGGGTTGGTAAGATGCCCTGAAGAAAGGAACAGCTACCCACTCCAGTATTCTGGCCTGGAGAATTCCATGGACCTACAAGCCTGGCAAGCTATAGTCCATGGGGTCGCAAAGAGTCAGACATGACTGAGCATCATTCACTTAAATTTATTTAAGATAAAGTTACAAAAGTTATCAAGAAAAATATAATGAACTCCTATGTTTAAGAAGTGAAACATTTATCGTCTCAGCTGCTCAGTTGAGCCCAGCTCTTCGCCACCCCATGGACTGCAGCCCAACCAGGCTCCTCTGTCCATGAGATTTTCCAGGCAAGGATACTGCAGAGGGTTGCCATTTCCTTCTCCAGGGGATCTTCCCAACCCAGGGATCAAACCCAGATCTCTTGCACTGCAGGCAGATTCTTTACCGACTGAGCTACAAGGGAAGCCCATGAAACATTTATAATGTTACTGAAGTCCCCCTAATCCCTACCTCAGCATCTAAACCACACCCAACCCATCTTATTCCCCTCCATCAGTCTAACCTGGCTCCCAGGTCTGATGCTTATAAGTCTCATTATATATATCCCTAAGCAAAATGCGGAATTGTTTTGCATATATTTTAATCTTTGTAAAATTAGCTAGCTATAATCTTTCTTCCCCCCCCCCCACCCCCCACTCAATGTTATACTTGGGAGATTGTTCCCTACAGATACAGTGTATCTTTAGTTCACTTATTTTCACTGCTAGGTGGTGGTTTAGTCTCTAAGTCCTGTCTGATTCTTGTGACCCCATGGATTGTAGCTTGGCAAGCTCCTCTGTCCATGCAATTCTTCAGGCAAGAATACTGGAGTGGGTTGCCATTTCTTTCTCCAGGGGATTTTCCCCACCCAGGATCAAACCTGGGTCTCCTGCATTGCAGGCAGATTCTTTACTGACTAAGCTACAATTTATCTATTCTCTTATTGGAGAGCATTTGTTTCAATTACATGCTAATACAATGTTGCTTCTATAATATAATTTTTTTCCAATTTCAGATATTATGGTAGTATCCAAGGTGGGAAAAAAGAACAAAAACCTACCACAAGTAGAGTCGGCTTTGTTTTACCTTCAGGTGAGTTTCTGATTTAACTAACCTGAAAAGTGAAGTGCCATTTATAGGGATTATAAATAAATTCTCTAAAGTAGCAAAAAACAAGCAATATTTGAATAAAGTTTGACATACACATTGACTGTGACTAGTACTTAGTATATAATAGTACTGTAAATAGTACTGAATAGTACTGTGAATGTTGTAATTTAATATTGCATAATTAATATTTTCACAGCCATTATAAATGAAATATCTTTTTCAACAAAAGTCCCACAAAAGTATGAGGATGAAAAAGTGGAAACAGTGACCAAACAGGCAATATTAAATGGAAATATTGTGAAAGAAAGCACTGAAGCTCATGGCACTATTCAGTAAGTAAAATAATTTTGACTTAGAAATAATAATGAACACATGCAAAAAAAAATTAACTTCAATTGAGTAATCTCAGTAATCTTTGAATGTGTCTAAACATAATTTTATATATTGTGATTTTTAATCAGACATGAATAAATATATAAAAACTCAGATGAAGTACTCAATCCTTAATTCATCATTTTCCCAAAAAACATAACCAAATAATGAAAATTCCATAGAATCCCTTAGAAATTTTATTCCTATGATTTTTAAAGAATACACATATAATTGTCACAATGTAAATTATAAACTGTAACTTAAAATCTAATATGTGATAGACATTTCTTGATTTATTTTTCATATACAGTATATATTACATTTTTTTACTTCTTCATATAGGAAGATTTATTTTATCATTTCAGGACAGAGAAAGTGGATGAAGTTATTAAAGAATGGGAAGGCTCCTTCTTTAAAGATAACCCTCGATTAAGGAAAAAATCAGTTTCTCTTCGATTTGATCTTCATTTAGCAGCCACTGATGAAGGGTGTTCACAGACTAAGCAGGATAATCTACCAGATATAGAAGTCAGGCTTATCATGAGAAGATCATGCAGTATCCCCTCTATCAAACGTCCATCAACAACTAATTAATCCAAAGACAGTATTTGATTTGATGTGAAAATGACATTAGGATGGACCAGGGTAGGCCTGCTGGCCACCTTCTGTTCCAAAATGTAAGTTATTAAGTATGTATGTTATGACCAATGTATGACTCATCAGAAAAAAAAGAGGGAGGGACAAAATGCCTCTGGATATAATTATAGGTGTATTTTTTTTTTTTTTTGGACAAAGGGAGCTTAAAATCAGAAATTTAGCACAGGTTCTATTTTATTTATTATCCAAATAGTCTTCTTTTTCCCTTAAATTTTTGTCAGAAACTGTAAGCATTAAGATGGTTTAGTTAAGTCTTTAAAATTTCACTAAATGGCTGAACATTCTAAGGAAAAGGGAAGAGTCTGTTTAAATATGATTGTATTATGTTAAGAAACACATTGAGTCATCATTATTCCATGACTGGTTACATCTAAAAGGATTTTTCTACTTAAAAAAGAAAGCAATTATAAACAAACCTTTAAAGAGGACTCACTATTCACTTAACCGAATTCTTTCCTTTTGAGATAATAATTTGTGCAGGTAGAAAATAAGAGTTATTTTCTACAAGATGTTTTGAGCAAACTATAGAAGACACCCCCAGGCTCATCTGATGATTAAATTAATCTTCATCTGAAGGTTCTCTGTCATCATTATCTGATTTCCTGAAGAGTAACTTTACTCGAAGAACTGTAAAGGTTGTATCCTCCCACACAAAAATCAGAGGGCCAGCTACAGAAGCAAAAGAGGAAAGCTAGTTACTACAATTACTGGAACAGGATCCAACCTCTTATCATTCCAGCTTTTCCATCTGTATAAAGTTAAACATGATTTAATTTGAGTCTCTGATGCGAGCATTAGATAAAGATACTATATAAAGTATTATAAATATGTCTTGCAAACATTCATGTGAATTAAGATAACAGTATTGTTATCTAAGCAAAGAGTATTTGCAGGATTTATGTTTGTAAGTTGTTCAAACCCTAATAAATATGGAAAGAAAATATATTTGTGAATAAGTCAAGTATTGTTGCAAAGTTTTTTAAACAGCCTAATTTGTTTAATACAGGTACATTTAAAGACCTTAAATAATAAATACTTGTTTTAAAACATTAGAAATTTATAGGCTATCAATTTTTTTCTAAGCAGAAAAAACATTGAGTATAATTCTCCATACTTTTTTTCCCAGCTAAAGTATCACCTAAAGGGCTAGAGCTGTTAGCATATTAATACAGCCTTTGGAACTCTCTCTTCCTTCTTTCAACCAAAAAAAAAAAAAAGTAACTTTAACCAGAAAAAAATTATGTTAAATAATCTTTAACATAATACAGGGAATAACATTTAAATGTTTTTCAGTAAGTTCAGCTTTATTTTAGCCTGGCTTATTCTATTTTGTGAAAGGGATGATTTTGTTTTGTCAAGGACACAACAGCATGTGAAGTACTTCTTTTTGCATAAGCATCTGACCTAAAATACATCCTGTACATCAAAGTGTTTTCATTCAATATTAGTTAAATGCTACTAACTTTATTAAAGCTTTGGAAATGCAATCATATAAGCTATTGTACTAAAAGTTACTGTACTAAGCAACAGTATCATAAATAAAGGAATATATTTAGTGTCATCTGTACACAGTGTTAAAAACAGCACCCGGCATCATGAATGTAACTGCTCGTGATAGTAATTCCACTATGCAGCTCTTGTGTGTATAACATGTACATTTTAAAATACAGTACCTGAATTTATAACAGCTTTATTTGCTTCAATATTTGCATTTTAAATTGGGATATGAGTTTACCAAAGTAAATGATACCACTACAATAAAAAAAAAAACTGAAACAAGAACTTGCAAACCTGTATTGTATTTGAGTTTGATACATTGTATTGAGTAGAATTATTCCAATATTGTTAGCTTCATTGCAGAATGGAGAAAACTACAACGAAGGTGCATAAAAGCACAATTGTTATACTTTTATTTAGCAACAGAAAAATTAAGAATGGCATATTCTAACATATGATATATTCTAATTAAAAAATAAAAATAATCTCATAGTCCTGGGAGAAGTATACTAACAGCAGCCACCATTTGCAGAGGGCTCACTCTGCTCCTGATCCTGTAACTCAAACTCAATCTCTAATCCTCACAGCAATCCTACAAAATGAACAGTATCATCCTCATTTGATGAATGAATAGAAATTAACATTCTTCAATCTCTCTGAAATGGTTCAAATGCATGCTTCCATAACAAAATACAAAAGTAAATACTATGAGTCCCTTCGCTGTTCACCCAAAACTACCACAACATTGTTAATCGGCTACAACCCAATACAAAATCAAAAGTTTAAAGTCTGGGGGGAAAAAGTAAATAATAAGTCCAGTTACCAACAACTGCACAATCCCAGCCCTGGGACTGTCACTCATAACCCATGCAACCATAAAGGAGTCACTAAAATTCTCTAGGTCTCTGTTTTCACACCTGAAAATGAAGAGAAAGGTGGCACTTGATCATCATTCCTGCCCTGTCTACTTCACAGAGCTGTTTGAAATAATACACATGTAAAAATATTTGGCAAAGCACTACTCAAATGTATAAGAATATATGGATGAAAACAGTCACTGGGAGCGAAGAATTCATGTTCATGTCCCAAATATCCAGATATTTTGAATGTAAGGCAGAAGACTCTAAAAGCAAACCATACTTTGTCAAAATCTACACAACATGGTGAATCACTCAGACCTGGAAATCTACTGGACTTCAATATTTCAGAATGACTTCTAGTAATAGCAATTGAACAGCCATAACTTCTGCTTTCACAGAAAGGGCTGAGAAAACTAGCTTATTTCACCATGTTTCTTACAGCCACACTTTTTTTATTAGCCAGACTTTTATAAGTGGTTCAGACAGAGTTCTGTCCTTCCTTTCCCTATTTTAAGGGTGGGGGGTGGGGATCCATTGAAAAATGCTTCATTAGAACAAACTCTATAGACAAACTGCATGGCTCAGTGTTGGATTCAAAAGCTTTTTGAGTCACAAACCTCTTTGAAAATCTGTTAAAGGCCAAAAACTATTTGGAAGAGTGTTGGGAGGAAGCACCTAAAAATTGTGTACAATCTTAAAAGGTTATAAAGGAATAAACCTCCTGGAGCCAATTCACAGACTAGTAGGTGTCCAAGGACTATGGGTATTTCCTTGTTCTCTCCCATGTTCTCCTCTTTCTTCCTTCCCAGTCATGGTTCTCGTTCTATCCCTGTTTTTTCCTTCCCAGCATCTTCCCACAGCACGAGGGAAAGAAATCAAAGAGATTTCAATCCCAGCTTAATCACTTACTAACTTGGGGAGGAAGAAGAACCTCAAAGAAGTATGAGTAGTGTCAAAGAGCAATGCAGGCAAATTTCCTGGATCTTGCTGCCAGAAAGAAAACTAAACTGCTTGGCCCTGTCTCTGGCGTTTACCATTAGGTGCCTGTGAGGGTTCCCAATATCTTTACATGTAGTATGAACAGTCATATTAACTGTTCATCCCACATCTTCCAGGAATAACCACCATTCAAAATAACCTGTCCTGCAGTCCCCATAAATATCCCTGCCCATACAAGATCATATGTCCTACTGTCTGCTTGGGGAAAAAATCAACAGCAACTCAGTGTAAGTAGAGTCCATCCTGTTGGATATTTCACTCTTCAATCTTAATCTCTAAGACTTTCTCTATTATATTTTGCCTATATTCTTCCTTTCTTAATTTTGCAAATCTTCAGAGCAGAGAAATAACTAAAGGGAAGATGATGAGATAGCTGATCATTTATTCACTCCACAGATAGGGGCACGAGAATGGGCATTGTTCCAGATGTTGAATCCCCCGGCCCAAGGAGCTTTCATTCTTGATGGGAAGAAAAAGATAACAACATAAAAATACAACAAATAGAGTATGTTAGGTGGTAATACATACTATAGAAAAAAACCATGAATAGAGAGGAGGTTGGGGAATGAGTTACAGTTTTATAAAGATCAGGAAAAACATACTGAGGTGACATTTGAGCAAAGCTCAGGAGATAAGAAAGTGTATCAATGTCACCACTCCTTTCCTTTCCTACTATTTTTGAGTCCTCCCTTTCCCACTACAGTATGCTTTGTTGCTAACACCCAGCAGTTTTTCTGCAGAAGACTGCCTAGAGATGACATAACCAAGCACCTGCCCCAGCATGGCGCTTGCCCAATCCTCCACCATAAAAGCCAGTGGAAGAAGGTGGGATTCCCTGCTGAGCCTTCGTGTATTTTACATTAATCCATGTATCTGATGCTTTTATATTTTAAAAAAGCAATTTCTGGTACATTATCTCAAGCCCCAGTCAGGCTGCCCATTATCTTTTGATGACCTCTTTTCCCTTTAATATGCTCTTTAGTTTCACTAATCTCTAATCATGAACATGAAAATATTGGAAGTGGAAGAGGTTCACTTGTCCCTGGTTTTGCACACTTCTGGAGACGCCCTAGTCCCTGCTGGCACATCCAGGACGGTGGCTAAGGGTAGCTGAAGAATCCAATCATTCTAAATGTCAACACCATTTTCAAGTAATTTCAGATCCTTCCCCCTCTGCAGTGGCCCACATCGGTCAAGTGTTTATATATCCAAGGAGAGGCTGCTATCTAGTACATCAACGTAGTCATGATTTAGTGAAAAGAGTCCTGGACTAGACCGTAGCCTGCCTCAATATACATTTACTGAGATTCTAACAATGGTCCAAGGCCTTACTGGGCACTGGCTATAGGAAGATGACCAATGCAGACGGCTGAACTTTTGCTTTCAAGGCTCTCATAGAGTATTGACAATGACAAACACAATCTGATACCTTATTAGGTAAAGGCCATAATAGTTATCAAAAACCTTGGGCGTTCAGAAGAAGAAATTCGAGGGGGTGGGGGGGCGCGTGAGGCGGGGAGTTCCCAGGAGGCATCAGAGACAGAATTTGAGCTGGATCCCTAAGGACAGATGAGTTTAGGCCCAAAAGTGAAGGACTGTCGTTCCTGGCAGAGGAAACCGAATGAGCCAAGGCGCTTTGGGACACACAACCTGGCGCAAGGAGATTTACATCTCCGGGCCTTGGCTCAGAAACCTGTGACAATTACTCCACACTTGCGCTTGGGAACAACTGGAAAGATCTGTGTTGCTTTCGCCAAAGCTCTTGCCAGCGGTTAAGGCAGGAAGCCCTGGGAGGCGCGCAGGAGGACGGAAGCTCGGTAAAGCTGGCTCTCCACTTCTCTATCTTCGGCTTGCTGAATTATATACACTCCAGCTTCCAGAGAAAGAGGAAAGAAAAAGACCGGAAGGAGAAAAACAAACTCGGAGGCAGGGACGGGGGGCGTGCGCGGCCTGAGTCCGGCCGGGGTGGTGCGCGGGCCGCGCGGCCACAGTGGTTCCGGGACTCGCGACTGGGAGCGCCTCCCGCTGCCTTCCGGCCCCGCGCGGGGAAGCTGAGGCCGCGCTCCCACCTCCCTTCGGCTCAGTCTCGCATCTCCCGCCGCGTCACCCGTCCCCGCTCCGGCTCCTCGGGGGCCCGCGCGGTCCGGGCCTACCCGCGGTCGGGCCACCTCCTCCCTCTCCAGAGTGACGAATCGGCGCCCAGCTGGCAAAATACTGACATTCGGGGAGTTTTGAGGAACGTATGGAACCTGAAAAAAATCTTTGACTGTACTAAACACCACCGCGTCCCCACTAGAACGTTTATTTTTCTGAAGAAAGTCGGTTGGGGCCTGGAAAGGAATTAGGAAGAGTGTTGAAAGTGCGAGCGCGGAAGCTCGGGACGCGAGGGGCGGGGCGTGCGCGGGACAAAGGGAAGCGAGGCCGGAGCTGCGGGCGCTTTTTCTGCCCGCGGGTGAGTGTTTCCGACTGGGCCCGACTGGGTCGGGAGGGTGGAGAGGCGTGGGGTCCCGGCTTGGCTGGGGTTGCTGGGGGTTGTTGGGGTTCAGACTTGGCCGCGGGACCAGGGCCGGGGGCCGGTTGCGGCCTCTCTGAGGCCTAGCGGAGCGAGGGTGGGGATAGAGTCCCATTTGGGGCTCCTTTTGGGCGGCCAGAAGTGCCCCTTCCACTAAACCCGCGGAAGTGGTCAAAGCGCTTCTGCAAACTCCTCTTCAGTAGAGTCGCTGGTAAAGTGCACCTTCACATCAAACCTAAACGAATCGATCTCAGGAAGCCCTTGGGATAAGCTAAGCCCGTGGTCCTCACCCCCAGGAAGGTGGTTTCCCCTTGTCCAGGCAGCGATCTGAGGACTCACTGTGTGGCTTGGAGTGAAGAGCGAAAGCTCGGCAACAGTTTGGCCTGGGTTTGAAACCCAACTCTGACACTTCCTGACTGTGTGTCTTGAGTCAAGTTACTTATACTGAACGAGACTCCTTTTTTCCCTCCGTAAAATGGCAATAGCAGTACACATCTCGTTGGTAGTGTGACTGTTAAACCAGATGATGTTAAAGTAGTAAACCTGTCCCGTATAAGGTATTCAACAAATAACTTCTCCAGGATTTTATGCCAGGCACCGGGGATGCATACAGTGGTGGACAGATGTACGAGATCACTCTTGAAATTTATGGTATAGCAAAAGAGATCAGTAATTTCAAAGTATTAACAATAAAATGTGACACACCAGGGAGCTTGTGGCAGTTATTATCCGGGCCCCCCACAGCAAGGCCTACTGGATGTTGACAGCCCACCCAAGCTTGAGCAGGAAGGAAATCTGCCCCAGACTCTGGTTTCCTGCCTGTACCTTAAGGAGAGACTGGAGACCCAGTTTGGGCCATTGAGAAAATAAATGATTTCTTTCCGCACCAGGCCTCTTACTCATAATGCTCCAGAAATGCCCTTAAAATACAAAACAGGAGCAAAACAAAAAAAATTAATCATGTTTGTTTCTCATAATGTTGGAAGAAAATACTCCAGTAGTCATAGAAGTTATTTGCCTTTTTTCTAAAAATCAATGTTCGTCTCTTTGTACACATTGTGTGTAATATATAGTGAGGTAAGGAACAAGTTCCTGTGTGTGTGGTCATGCCCTGAGCTAGTGTTACTGGACCAAAGTTGGTAAGAATTGAGCTAGGTACTGGGACAGCAATAATGAATTAGATGGTCCCTGTCTCCATTCAGCCCCCATTTTAGCAGATGTAATATGATACCATTGATCTGTGTAAATTGGAGTACAAATGAGGGAACATTTAATTTTGTACAGATATGTCCAGAAATCTCCATTGAGGAGATATATTTTGAGTTGAGCTAAGAAAGATCAGTAAGAGTTTTTTCCAGTCAACTCTCAAAATTTATTCCCAGCGGTTATGAAGCTATTTACCATTATGATGTTGTTTTTTAGTCACTCAGTTGTGTCTGACTCTGGCGACCCCATGGACTGTAGGCTACCAGGCTCCTCTCTCCATGGGATTCCCCAAGTGAGAATACTGGAGTGGGTTCCCATTTCCTTCTCCAGGGGATCTTCCCGACCCAGGGATTGAACTCAGGTGTTCTGCATTGGCAGGCGGGTTCTTTTACCGCTGAGCCACCAGGGAAGCTCCGTTTGCCACTATAAGAGAGTGTGAAGTTTATTGTCACACCAGTTACCTTTTCCACTGCCTTCAGGAGTAAAATGCTGTTTTACTAGAAAGGAATTGTTATCCTAAAAGGAAGGCAGAGCTGTGGCTGATCAGGGAGCTGTCAGTGTCTGGTAGGCCTTGTTGAGGTAGGCCCCAATAATACATCATATTCTTTCATCACTGTATCAAACCGTTTGATTAAATGTTTACATGGCATCACCAAAACGTTTTCCATACAAGAGGTGGCTCAGTATCAAAAAAACAAAACAAAAAAACTTGCAAGTACATGTCTAATTTTACTTTTTAATATCCCCTGTCATTTTAGTCATTTAATTCTGATCAACTAAGTGACCTAAAGAACTAGTAAAATATTTAAAAGGCTTGATTACTAGAAGATAATGTAATTTTACAAAGAAATATCAAACTACCCTATTCTTTAGAAAAACATTCTCTTATGCTTGCTGAGTTTTGATTATCTTTATTTTTCTTTTTTTTTTCCTTTTTTTTATTTTAGTGTCTCAGATTCATTCTTAAGGAACTGAGAACTTAATCTTCCAAAATGTCAAGTAAGTTTCATTTTTTATATTTATCAATCTATATTAATAAGAGACTAATGCCCTAGCAAATGGGAATTCCAAAATACTCTCATTTTTTTTTCTTCAAAACAGGACCATTGGTAGTTTTGTTGCATAGTATTATATCTCAGTTGTTTACAAGAAGTTATTTATTTTCTTTCAAACAGAAAGACCATCTTATGCCCCACCTCCCACCCCAGCTCCTGCAACAGTAAGTTTTAATTTTCTTGTTAATGTAATAGCCAAGTCTGGCCTTGATACAAAAACCCAGATGTCTTCCAGTGACAGTCACTCAATCATCACAGCAACAGGATGAAAAATTAAGCTAAAAAACAGCACTTCCTACTAAATAAAATAACTCTGCATCTTACCTTGAACCAACCCCAACATTTAAAGAAACATACTACTGAAATGCCAACCTCCTATGCTCAGTTCTTTTTTTAATTAGAAATAAGTGGCAAGTTTAACACTTTTCTTGTCATCTCTGTTAAGAACCTTGAAAGCTAATATGAAATAAATGCTCACTCTGGCATTTATTGTTTTTAAACCTAACCTTCAATTGGTTACATTTTTCTCTTCCTATCTGTATATAATTTTCACATTAAATCAAACAATAAAGCTTCCAGTTCTGTACTACCTTATTGTAAATCTTTATTTTCAAGCTGTTCAAGTAAGGATTTCATTATCTGTGGGTCAGATCCTGCTTTTGAGTTTTATGCCATAAATAATATTTTATTGGATTGAGACTTGATATGTTTCAAAGTGTGTAAATAATAGTGAACTAGTATTTTTCACCCAGCAAGCTCTGGCCCAGCTTGGTCAGCATGTAAAATAATTGCCCAATCCACAAAACAGATTTAACAGTAACTCTTCAGGCCTTGCTGAAATGGATTCCTTGTTATTTTTTTTTATTTAAAAGCAAAAACAAAACACTGTTAACATTGACCATATCCTACAAAAGCAGTTCTTAACTAAAGCTGTTAGCCCTCCTTCCATACTCCCTGCCCCTAAATTTCAGGCTAGCTTACTAATTAGGGCCTTGTGTAACTTTGTTTTCTCCACTAGATAAACTACTTTTATTTACTAACCTTCTGTATGTTTGTTTATCAACAATTTGTTTTTCCTTAGTAAGATGCTTTTAAAAAGGGATACTGTATCACATCTCAACTTTATATAACGTACAGTTTCTAAAGTTACTTCCAGTAGATCTTAAAGTCCTGTGTTTGGTTTATTTCCTTTCTTAAAGAACATTTCTTACTACCATCTCCTTGGCACTCTGCTAGTGGCTATACAGGTGGAGTTGAACAATTGAGATTCCTGACCTCAAAGAGCTAACCATGTACTTCATTTTTGGAAATGGTATAATTGCAGTGTTTTAGTTTCAATTTTTTTTAAGTTCCCTTACTGAATTTTCTTACATTATTGCCTCATAATATTGAACAGTGATTATCATTGCATATGCAACCTTTGAAGGTGTCATTTTGACACAAATACTGCCTCTAACAGCGTATATTATCTTGAAGACATTAATTTTTTTGAGATAATAGAAATAGCTCAGAAACCAACCCTATGATTTCCTAAATGTAGAAAGGGATATTTTTACCTTTCTTTAATCATATTTCTGTACCATTATAATTTTACATTACACATACAGAAGACTAGGGGTTAGTACATCCAACAGAACGGATATTAAATGAGTTTCCTCCTTTATTTTATTTCCGTTTCTTCTTCCACCACCATCACCACCACCACCACCACCACCTCCACCCACCACTACCACCCAAACGTACCACCACTCCAAGTAATATACACTTCTTTTGTGCCTTTGATACTTCATCTGTGTTTTGCCTACTTATGTATGCTTGATTTGCGTCTTCTATAACTACATAGGCTAGAAATTGATCACTTGTTCTCTTGTAAAGAATATCAAATGATTGATTTGCTTGAATGCCTTTTTTTTGGACACTAAGGATATGTGCAGTGGCATGTTTTAGAAAATTGTGTTGATAATAGCTACAGCTTAGTTGGGATGTGTTGTTTATTTTACATTATACAATTCAGCATTGGTATTAATTGCATGTTAAAATGAAATTACTGTCACTTGTTTTGATTGAATTTCATTAGGTCAAATACCTTACTTTTGGTCTCTCTTTGCTACATCCTTTTTATGCACTATACTTTGATTCTCATGAACATTGGATGTCATTTTATTAACCACGAAGGGCACTGCTATATAAGAGCCCATTTGTGATCACATCAACACATAATTTACAAAAGCCGAGAATTCTGTTGCTCCAACAAGCAATTGTGGTTAGAAAGAGCTCGGGCTATCAGGAAATCAGATGAGAAAAGAAAGTTCAAGTCTGTCTAGTAGAGAAGTAGTTCACATTAAAACTAAATGCAGAAATTATTCGTGATTGACCTGTGGAAGATGGATCAAAGAAGAGATGGAAGAGAAAGCCTTTAAAAGAATGACTGGGTTAAAAAAATCAGACAGTACCCCCAGAATGAAATCCATGCATTTCTTACAAGTCTTTGTTTTGAAATCATGTATGTGACATCCATTGAATCCCACATATGTTTTTTTCTATTGATGACTTCTGGCTTCCTGATTTGAATCTCTTCTCATTTCTCACACTATATAAAATGATTTAAAGCTGTCTTTGGAAGCAGTCCATTTCTTGTTTTTGTTTTTGGTAGATAAGTGCATTGGTGGCATTCATATGACTGTCAAATAAATCATGTTTTGTTTTGCATGTAAAGTGTTTTCAGACTCCTAGTTTATCACATTTCAAGCTTTCCAATCTCAGACATATATTGCTAAGTTGTTATTTCATATATTGACCATAAAGTGATCCTGAATGATGTTCGAGACACTTCAGTGTATTGCTTATCCTGAAAGACAAACATATTCACACTCATACAAACACCACTGGCCCCTGCAAAGAGACAGAAAGAGACAAAAAAAACAAAAACCACTTGCAGACTGGTTTTTCAATGCAAAAAAAGAACAATTACAACACATCATTGCTTGTTTAAATTCAGGTTGCTTTTGCATGCCATATGCAGATCATTTTTCATTTCTGTGTTTTCCTCGTTTGAGCTCATTTCTCATTCGTGTTTTTGTCTCATTTGTTTCCATCAGCAAATGCCCAGCACACCAGGGTTTGTGGGATACAATCCATACAGTCATCTCGCCTACAACAACTACAGGCTGGGAGGGAACCCGGGCACCAACAGCCGGGTCACGGTAGGAGAATCAACTATTACAGCATCCAGCAAACAACTGGAATTGACCAGAAATGCCTTCAGGTTTAGGTCCTTTTGAATCATCAGCACAGCCATTTAAAAAAAAAAATTTAACCTGGCTTTTAGATTATTTTAAATATTCATTGTACAATCTTATACTGAAAAAAAAAAATAGATCTGGATATGTATACAGAAGAAAAGGAGAATCCATTCTGTTTGGTGATTGGTAGAGATAAAGCCGTGGGCACTTAATGCTAGTACTCCATGTAGACAAACCTAGGATTCCCTATGGTTAAGATGCCCTTTTTGAGGCGAAGAGTATCTTTCATTTAAGGTAATTGGCATTAGGCTCAAGAACTATTTTCTTAATAAAAGCTGGGCTTATAGACCTGGCCTTTTTGGGCTATCCTACCAGTTTGAACTGCTGCACACAATTATTTGTCTTTTGGATTTAACAGTTGACGTAACTGAGATTCGTTTCTCTCTAGTTAAAAAGATATTTGTGCCAATTCAAAGAATGGCAGAATGAAAGCTGAACAAAATTAATTTGAGTTACCAGACTATACATATCTACAACCAGAAGTGCATTTATAGTTCAGAGGGTAAAGGATATGATTTCTGAAACTTAGATGTTTCACTTAAATAATCAGCCTGAGATACCAAAATTGGATGATGTACTTCGGCCTTTTTTTTTTAACTTCAGACTTTTTATTTTAAAATTATCTTTAACTTCATTTAAGGAAATTTAAGGTACCCAAAAAACAAATAACTGTAACAATGATTTACCAAAAATAGATAAATAAATCCAAAAGCCAAATGCCTACATACATGGGAATGTGATATTGGTAAGAATTTATACAACCCAGAATGGCTGTAAACTTTTTAATACCTGATTTTTGTTTGCTGTATTCAAAAATAATTCAATTAGTGTGACTTCAAAAAAGCCCTCTCACCCTGTAGTCAAGCTAGAGCAGAAAGCTTGTAACTTCCAAACTATATGTCTATCTTGGTAAGCATATTGCTTAGCTTGATAGGTTTTGTTTGTCTAAATATTTCATTGTTTCTGCATAATTTGTACTTCATAAGCATATCAAGTTTTATGTGCCATGCATATTTCATGGTATCTGAAAAGAATTCTGACAAAGTGTGTGTATGTATGCATTTTACAATGCATACAATTTTTATGTGCATCGGTACTTGTTTTTCCCCTGGCCTGAATGTGTTGTTTGACAAGTGTAATGGGTGGCAAAGTAATCAAATGATAAAGAACATTTTAATTTAATTAAGGGGCAGAATCAATTTTGGATCATTTATGTTAATACAGAAAATTATTCATGGGTAATAATCAAAAGAATGATTACATTTTAATAGCTCTATACAGTCAGCTCTTGATTATCTATGTTGATGGAAAAGTAATGGTGGTAACGGTAATATTAGAATCATTTGTATTTTATTTTCTGTAAGCATTTTGTTCCCAACTTGGATGTATCTGGGAATCCTTTGTTAATAAAGTGGTATCATTCAGTGGAGACTTAGCAGGAACAGGAAAGTACAGTCACTGTCTCAGGACCTTGGCCAGTTTCTCCCCATTCCTTCTTGGGGATGTTGGAACCCAGTATTTGGAGTAAGCACTAGCTTTAGGGTAGGTTAGTATGGGAAGGCTGTTGGGCATGGAAATGTTGATGTTCTGGTTCTTTACAATTATTTTATTTTGTATTATTGTCCTCTCAACACCATATTGAAGTGTAATCCAGGTGCTATGTAGACTTGAACTAAAGGGCCTAGGAAATGTGGAGGCTTTTAGCCTGTGTTAATCCTTCAACTTTTAGTGACCTCTCAGGTAATCATTCTTTACAAAAATGATGCCTAAAGTTTTATACTACCTTTTTTTTGGTCTGTATATCTAATTTAAGCTCTGTTAGGACTCAGTAGATCTGATTTTGACCTTTATAAAAGTGTTGTTTTAATAAGACCCCGTTTATGTGTTACTTTGTCGGGGAGCTTCTCTGGTATTATTGTCTGCAAATCACCTTAAGTCATTGATTTGAAGGAATGATTTGATGACACCCTGTGGAGTAGCTTCCCTTAGGATCTACAAACATGTGGTTTTCCCGATGACTCCAGTAAACTTGAAGAGTTTTCAGACAATAAACACTTTATATACATAAGCATGTTGAAACCTTTTGGAGTGCTTATGGTAGCTATGAAGTGGAATTCACTTCTGGTCACTTCTTCATCAGATGCTGATTAACATTCTCTTAAGTACAGATGTGAAAACAGATTGAGACAGAATGTTAAGAACAGTTCATTTCTGTGCTTTAATGGGAATTTCATCCCAGAAGAAAACCCTGGATAAGATCTTACCAGAGAAGCAGCTGAAAATTGGGAAGAAATAACGCAAATCTCTTGAGTAGCCAAAATTTCACAAAACCATAGACTTTATTATTCATAGGGGACTTTCCTCTGTTGTAATTTTAACTAGGATAATTAGTTGTTTCCCCCAACTCATTGCATTTGGAGAGAGGGACAGTTGCTGCTGGAGGTCGCTTTCCTGACAGCAGCAAGGAAGGAAACAGCTGAAAAAGGAGACATGCCTTCTAAAACCATAACTGTCAGGTCATTTAATAAAGGAACCAGCAGTTTTTCATACCTCAAACCAGGGGATTATAGTAAAGCAGTGGTTATAATTGTGTACAGTGCAAACTGCTTTTTTTTTTTTTTGGAAGAGTAATGTTTGAGACATTTTAGAAAGATGTCTGTTTGAGATGGTTAATAAATTAAGACTGTTGAGTGATATTAACCTTTAATGTCCTGAAAACCAGCTAGAATTTAAATTTGTTGTTATTTTGGTTTGGTTCTATTCATATTTATAAATTGACTGGTCAATGTAATGAAAATATGACCTCAACATGCAGATGATCCAGGTACCTTCCTTTGGGAGGAAAAAAAGAGGCAAATTCATTGTTATAAATACAGCTCTTTGAAAAATTTCAAGGAGTAAATATTACTGTAATTTGTTTTTAAAGTGTTCTAATTCATTTGTAACCCACTTCATGAAATTCTGAAGGTTTGTGTTGGCTGTGAGTTGGAAGTGCTTTCTAGTAACTTTATGTATGAAGAATCAGAGTTTTATGTGTTTCTTGCTCTGAATTCATGACAGAAGGTTAGCTTTGTAGAAATCCACACCCAGCCCCCCCAGAGAACTCCTACCACCCTAAGACACATCTCCTGTTGGCTGTTCATACTGCTACTGTTGACAGTCTCACTTCACCCTACTGCCCACTGCTGGCTGAAAGCAGGGTTTGTCTACCCAAGCATCAGCATCCTGTGTGGTAAGAATACATGGGCGATGTGGAAAGAGAGGAATACTGCTGCAGAGATGAAATGCTTTCTTGTAAGTTCATGTATGAAGAAGCAGAGTTACTGACAAGTATATAGGGCTGGAGGGAGACCCTTCTCATAGGAAGAAGAAGCATTGTTTGAAAGTGGTAGAAGGGGTACAGACACACTCTTCCCTGAGCCCTTGGATGAAAAATAAGGTTAGACTTGGGGTCTCAGCTGAGAATGGCGGGGGGGTTCCCTCTGGTTTTACCACAAGAACAACATAAGGGCAAGGGAGCAAAATGTCACCTTAGTTTTCTTATGAAGATTTGTTGATTCCTATCTTTTGATAATTAGAAGGAAGCCTTCTTCCTTCCCAACCTGGCAGGAAAATCAATATCAGGAGTCTTCCAGAAATGTGGGGGAAACAAATATAATTCAGCCATGATTTGATGCTGGGCCCTTGATCAGATGCAGCAGTGTGTGCAGAGATGTGAATAGGTGCAGAAGCAGCTCTCCTGTGCTGGAGGTGGGGGGGGCGGGGGGGGGGCATGGGGCTGCCTGGTCTCCTGCCTGGATTTAGCCTTTAAAAAGAGCTCATCTCCTCTATTTCTTTCCCTTTTGCCTTTCTTTCACCCACTTTCGTCTTTACCTTTTTAAAAACTATTTTTCAGTCTCCTCACCTTCTGTTTCCCATTTCTTTTTTCTCTGTCTTCCCCCACAAAAATCAGCATTTTTAAAAGCTTAAGTGGAGTCTCTTAACATACGGTCTCAAAATAACTTAATCAGGCCCTGTTTCTGTCATTTCTCTGTTCCTGGTAAACTTGTTCACTCCTCCACTGTGACTAGGAGTACAAAAAAGGCATGACTTCAATGCACACTTCCTAATCTCCTTTATTAAAAAAAAAAAAAAACTAGATAGGGGTATAGAACCTTAAGAAGAATAAAATCTCTAGTCATAACCAAGGAGTAATAACGTTTTTTGTTTGTTAGTTTTTCACTTTTGAATCTAGGGAGTAGGTTTTGTGGCGGTGGTAGTTGTTCATGTGGAAATGTGTTCCTGAAATGGTACAAATAGTAAACAGTCCCCAGTAGGCAGTGTGAGATGTGGTAAGTGCTGATCGGGTTCAGCTTCTGGTGAGATAATCAAGTGTTGACTGTATATGTGATGGTAAATTAAGCAAAATAAAAGGATGCCAGGTAATGTCCTAAATGTGGGACATTGATGTATAACCATATATTTTTGCTGTATTGATAATTGTGTAATATTTTATTTGTTCTTACAGCCAGGTTGTCAAAGCAGTGGCAATAAACTGCTAAGTAACATATTAAAAAGCTCTGTGGTTAAAGTAATTTTCTTTATTTTCTTTTGATGTGAACATTTCTGAATTTGCAGTGATAGCTATTTTCAGTGGAGAAAATATAAGAATCTTGTATCCATGGACGAGTAGAAGAAAGGCGCATTAGAATTTTTAAAGGGACTCTCTTTTCAGTTTGCTGGTGAACTTCTAGCAATTGAGTAATGAACGTATTTAACTCTTTTCTAGGCGTCCTCTGGTATCACGATTCCAAAACCCCCAAAGCCACCAGATAAGCCGCTGATGCCCTACATGAGGTACAGCAGAAAGGTAGGTGCCCTGGAGCCAGCAAGGAATGAGGACTGCAGTCTTTGTTCTTTGCTTTACATCAAGGTTCAATGGACTTAGCCGGCCATTTTGTGCATAGTCAGAGGAGAGGATACAGGATTGCAGTTGTTAAAAGACATTAGTTCTGATTTCAACATTCCAGAACTAAAATCCAACAAGAAAATGATTAAATAAACAGTTAAGGGCTTCCCTTGTATGCCAGTGGTTGAACATCTGCCTACCAGTGCAGGGGACAAGGGTTCGTGCCCTGGTCCGGACAGATCCCGCATGCCGCAGAGCAGCCGCTGCTGCAGCACACACGCCTGGAGTCTGTGCTCCACACCAGGGGAGGCCCGCACACTGCAACCGGAGAGTGTCCCCTCTCAGTGCAGCTGGGAGAAGCCTGCACAGCGATGAAGACCCAGCATAGCCCCAAAATAATATAAATGTGTATATAATAAGAGTTATACACTTAAGATAAAGTTGTGTAGCCTGCATTGTATAGTCTTTTGGAGACTATTTAATGACATGAGAAACATGTTAGGTGAAAAAAAGGAATACAAGACTACAAGTACTGGTATCTCATTTTTATAAAAATAATAGGAAATACATGTCAGTTTGAATTTTTTTTTAAGAAAAGCCTAGAAGACAATGGTTATCTCTAAACAAATCAACTTATGGTACTTTTTATTTTCTTCATGCTTTTCTTGAATTTTTCTTTTTTTTTGTTGGGGGGAAGGGGTGATGAACCTTCATTACTCTCAAAATAATAAGTATAGCTGATATTTTTATTAAAGATGAGCATTTACCTATTTTCACCACTACTTAGAAATTTTGAAATTTTTGGTCATAATTACTATATGTGTAATGTATATGTTATATTGTATTACGCACAGTAACCGCATTCCTTCTAAACTCATGAATTTTTAGAAAGACAGACTGTGTAGAGTTATCTCATCAAAGTGTCTGCAGTGTTTGGAGGTTTCTGAAATCTGCCTTAAAGTAACCCAGCAGAGGACCCTTGATAATTGTTGCAGCAGGCTGATGGGAACAATGGGTTTTGATACTATTCCTTGTGCCTTTGTTGATGATTGAAGTAAAGGTTTCTATATTAAAAAGTTTTTGTGAAAGTCTGTATTTTTAGGCATCAATACTAAAATCTGAACTGTTTCCTTTTCAAGGTCTGGGACCAAGTAAAGGCTTCCAACCCTGACCTAAAGTTGTGGGAGATTGGCAAGATTATTGGTGGCATGTGGCGAGATCTCACCGATGAAGAAAAACAAGAATATTTAAACGAATACGAAGCAGAAAAGGTAGGATGGAAACTACTGTGGGACAGGTACAAGATAAAGTTCATGAACACTTGCTTATTACTTATTAAAGAAATGTACAGTCTAATCAGACAGCTGAGGCTTCATCTGCCTGGGTCAAGTCACTCAGTTTCTCTAGACTTGAGATTCCTTGTCTGTAAGAAGGAGATAGTTATCCTGTCTTTTGATGTTCAAATGAGATAATGTAAGTATTCATTATAACCTGCAAGATATTAATTCTAAAACAGAGAAACATTTGAATTTCAGATAGAATACAATGAATCTATGAAGGCCTACCATAATTCCCCCGCGTACCTTGCTTACATAAATGCGAAAAGTCGTGCAGAAGCTGCTTTAGAGGAAGAAAGTCGACAGAGACAGTCTCGCATGGAGAAAGGAGAACCTTACATGAGCATTCAGCCTGCTGAAGACCCAGACGGTAAAAAAAAAAAAAATGGGGTTTTGTTTATGCTTTCTCTGAGAATTAAAATATGAGAAATCTCTTAAGTTGAAGTTTTATTTTCTATCCTAAATGGAAAACAAAGCATAATTTAAGTGCCATTTCAATATTTTAAATAATTATTTTGATTAAGATTTGTGTGTAAATTTCCCAAAGAAAAAGAAACACCCTTTTTAGCACAGAAAATAGCAAAAACTACCTATTGTTTATCAAAATCTTTGTACTGAGAATGCATGAAAGGTTTTTTTAGTCATAATCAGAATTTTACCTCACTGCTTTTAAAAGTTAAATGCCTTCAAGTTATTGTTATTGGTTCCTTAAATCAGCTGAGTTAAAGGCTCGTAAGCAAGAACGTTAATGAGTGGGAAGAGACATTTTGAACTCTAGTTAATTCAGAAATCCAACTAGAATTTGTAAGTACAACTCATAATGATACTTATAAGGGCGCTTTATTGCTTAGTCGCCAGACTTACAGGGGTGCTCTATTGCTTAGTCGCCAAGCCACGTTGGATCTTTTGCAACCCCATGGACTGTAGCCCACCAGACTCTGTCCGTGGGATTTCCCAGGCAAGAGTACTGGAGTGGGTTGCCGTTTCCTCCAGGGGATCTTCCTGACCCAGGGATGAAACCCACGTCTCTGCTTGGCAGGCAGGTTCTCTTCCACTGAGCCACTTAGGGAGCCCCGCGAGGGTGTGTACCCACAGATGCCACAGGCGCGCGTAGCAGAGCTCCCTGGTCGGCGCTCCGTGGAGGGAGCGCAGCAGCGCCTGTGCACTCTGCTGCTCTGCAGCCAGCTGGGCTCCGAGGCCGCGAGCCGCGCCGGCGCCAGCCGCCTCCAGCGATCAGTATACGCTCCACGGAGCACACGCGCTATACAGATCATTTTCCTCAGGTGCTGCTGTGATGAGGAAGAGGTTGGAAGCTCTAGCTGCAAGCAACAAAAACATCAGGGAAATAATTTAAGATCCCATTTTAAAGTAGTAATAACAAAGAAGAAGCTTCTAAGGCCTTTAAGAAGAGACCTTTAAGAAAAGAAGCACTAGTACCGCCTAAAGACATGAATAAACTGAAATACTTGGAGAGAAAAACAAAAATGAGTTTTTAAAAGAAAGGACTGGAATATTGACAAATATCCTCATAAATACAAATCTAATAAACAGCGACTAGAATAGGGAATAGAGACAATAAAGCATATTAAGCGGAGTCAGCAGTGCTACAGACACACGAGTATATACAAACTCTTAATTGCTCAGATTGAATGATTAATGCAAGAAAAAAGCACAGAACTAAAAAAATAGAAGAAGATCCAGTTTACAAATAATTGGAAGGATGGGAGGTCAGTAAGAGTGAGAACAAAGACTTGCAATACAGAAGCCATAAGTAGGAATCAGATGAAGTTTTCACTAGGTGAAGGTAACAAACAGCATGAGCCTGGAGAGGCGCTGAAAGAGACTCACTAAGGGATAGTCTGAAAAAGAGAACCTTTCTCTGTTCCTCAGGCTCCTGCCCATTATATTTTTTAAGTTTAAAATATGATATTAGAACTAGAGCTGGCAGTAAGAAAGGACAGGAATAATTAAGATGCCAGGATAAGGATGACTTTAGACCTTGGACTTTATCCTTCAGAACAGAGTAGAAAGAGGAAGACTTGGGGGGGTGGAAATGTACATAAAACCAAGAGGAAGGCTGAACAAGCACAGCGGCTGCTCACTCTAGCAGAGAAGACCTACAAGCCTGCAGGACATAGGCAGTTATCCTCACAAGATAGTGAAGCCTTTTTTTTAAAAAAAGAGAATATTCATGAGATAAAGTACCTGGTGAATTAGAAAATATAAACCTACCCTCCCCTTCCCCAAAAATAAATCAGCCGACTAAAATGCAAGGAAAGACAAGTGCAGACTTCCTTGGTGAAGTCTATGCCCTCCCAATGCAAGGGGTGTGAGCTCGAGCCCTGTTCGGAGAACTAAGATCCCATGTGCTGTTCAGCGTGGGCTAAAAATAATAAATTTTTTTAAAAAGGAAAGACAAGCCCATATTGCTAAGACTTTACCAGTGATCAACACTGGGGACATATGAAAGAAGAACAATAATAAAAAGGGAACCTAGATGGATAACCTAGCACAAATGTATATAATCCTAAGTGTGAATATGAAAAACTCTCCCTTAAGAAGTAAAAAAGTCACAGAATTTTTTAATGGTATCTTTTGTTCCAGTAATTTTAATTTCAGAAGTACATATCCTAAAGAAGTTACTTGAAACAAAAATAATTGGCCCAACAGTTCATAGTGGTGGTATTTCTGATAATAAGAGTTTCAGTAACTACTTAAGTACCATATATTAAGGGACGTGCTAAAATGACACAGCAGCAGAGTTAGGGCCTTTGCAGTAGACTTTCTTACAATGTGGTCCCCCACCTCTGATAGAGGAACTTTTGTTTTAATGTGTATTGCTTAGGAGGAAGCGCTTTTTTAAAAAGTTAGTTGATTTAAATAAAAATATTAACAAATAATAGCACATATTGTTAGCAGATATGTCAAAAACTGGTAATGATAAGAGCAAAGGTTCAGTTCAGTCACTCAGTCGTGTCTGACTCTTTGCGACCCCATGGACTGCAGCATGCCAGGCCTCCCTGTCCATCACTAACTCCTAGAGTTTACTCAAACTCATGTCCATTGAGTAGGTGATCCCATCCAACCATCTCAGCCTCTGTCATCCCCTTCTCCTGCCTTCAGTCTTTCCCAGCATCAGGGTCTTTTCAAACGAGTCAGCTCTTGGCATCTGACCAAGATGCCAAAGTATTGGAGTTTCAGCTTCAACATCAGCCCTTCCAATGAATATTCAGGACTGATTTCCTTTAGGATGGACTGGTTGGATCTCCTTGCAGTCCAAGAGACTCTCAAGAGTCTTCTCCAACACCACAGTTCAAAAGCATCAATTCTTCAGTGCTCAGCTTTCTTTATAGTCCAACTCTCACATCCATACATGACTACTGGAAAAACCGTAGCCTTGACTAGACAGACCTTTGTTGGCAAAGTAATATCTCTGCTCTTTAATATGCTGTCTAAATTGGTCATAACTTTTCTTCCAAGGAGTAAGTGTCTTTTAATTTCATGGCTGCAGTCACCAACTGCAGTGATTTTGTAGCCCCGAAAAATAAAGTCTGCCACTGTTTCCACTGTTTGCCATGAAATGATGGGACCGGATGCCATGATCTTAGTTTTCTGAATGTTGAGTTTTAAGCCAACTTTTTCACTCTCCTCTTTCACTTTCATCAAGAGGCTGTTCAGTACTTCTTTGCTTTCTGCCATAAGGGTGGTATCATCTGCATATCTGAGGTTATTGGTATTTCTCCTGGCAGTCTTGATTCCTGCTTGTGCTTCATCCAACCCAGCATTTCTCATGATGTACCCTGCATATAAGTTAAATAAGCAGGGTGACAATATACAGCCTTGACGTACTCCTTTTCCTATTTGGAACCAGTCTGTTCCATGTCCAGTTCTAACTGTTGCTTCCTGACCTGCATACAGGTTTCTCAAGAGGCAGGTCAGGTGGTCTGGTATTCCCATCTCTTTAAGAATTTTCCACAGTTTGTTGTGATCCACACAGTCAAAGGCTTTGGCATAGTCAATAAAGCAGAAATAGATGTTTTCCTGGAACTCTCTTGCTTTTTTGATGATCCAGTGGATGTTGGCAATTTGATCTCTGGTTTCTTTGCCTTTTCTAAACCAGCTTGAACATCTAGGAGTTCATGGTTCACGTATTGTTGAAACCTGGCTTGGAAAATTTGGGACATTACTTTACTAGCATGTGAGATGCTTGCAATGGTGTGGTAGTTTGAGCATTCTTTGGCATTGCCTTTCTTTGGCATTGGAATGAAAACTGACCTTTTGCAGTCCTGTGGCCACTGCTGAGTTTTCCAAATTTGCTGGCATATTGAGTGCAGCACTTTTCACAGCATCATCTTTTAGGATTTGAAATAGCTCAACTGGAATTCTACCACCTTCCCTAGCTTTGTTCACAGTGATGCTTCCTAAGACCCACTTAGGCAAAGTGTAATAATGTAAGTGCAAAGGTGAAAGTGAAGTGAAGTGAAAGTTGCTCAGTCGTGTCCGACTCTTTGCGATCCCATGGACTGTATGAAGTCCATGGAATTCTCCAGGCCAGAATACTGGAGTGGGTAGCTGTTCCCTTCTCCCGGGGATCTTCCCAACCCAGGGATTGAACCCAGGTCTCCCGCACTGCAGGTGGATTCTTTACCAGCTGAGCCACAAGGGAAGCCCTTGTGCAAAGGTAGTAGCTACTAAAAATAAGCTTGTAAACTAGACCCATACTATATGTAAGTGAAATTTAGAACTAGACCTTTTTTAAGGCCTTAGTGTTATTTTAATCTGATAAAATATATATGCCCACCTGGGAAACTGCTATTACTAGAGGTAATGTTTTCTCTGCAGTGGGCATTTTCCTTACTTGGAAGTGCTACAGTGACAAAGACACCAGAAAGTTCCTGTGTATCATCAGTTGTAAAAGCTTTGAATTACTCTCCAAAGAGTGAAATATTTGGCAGAATCTGTACTGCTGTCACGTGCAGCCTTCACATTGATTTCCAGGCCAAAGACACTTGGTTATATCTCATTTGTGTTTCAGCCAAATATCAGATGCACATCCTCACTTAAAAGATTTTGTGAGAAAAACCAACATCTTGGCCGGTGAACACATTGTATCCTATGTATGGTTTTTATCAAGTAACTGCCCTGGTGCTCCCTTGATGCCCTTTAAACCCGCTTATTAGTCCAGTGAGGACCATGGCTCCTTGGTAACTAAGTGTTAACATTGTTACACTCTCCTGATTATGGTAATTGGTGACCTGTTTACCAGATCATGTTGTTTATTCCAGATTATGATGATGGCTTTTCAATGAAGCATACAGCCACCGCCCGTTTCCAGAGAAACCACCGCCTCATCAGTGAAATCCTTAGTGAGAGTGTGGTGCCAGACGTTCGGTCAGTTGTCACAACAGCTAGAATGCAGGTTCTTAAACGACAGGTCCAGTCCTTAATGGTTCATCAGGTAAAGACAGAAAACATTTGTTATAGTAAGATGGGCCTGTGCTGTAGGTGCCTGGTAACCTGATTGTATACCAGGCATGAGTGTGCCTGTTAAATATTTATGTCCAATCTAACCTGTTCCTGATTCAGGGAAGAGGCTGGAGGGAGTAGACCCTTCCCAGAGATTTAATAAGTTTGTCATTAACACTGTAACAGGGAACCTTTTGACAGAAAGTGTATTTGTTAAGAATTTTGAGATATCCTATCAGCCTTTACTAGCATACTAAATGTTTTTCTTGCAAAAAATTACTGAGAGCTGACAGTATTGTATAACTTACTCATGTTAATGAGTCATTCTCTCTGTGCTGCATTTTTACATTTTTTAAATCTTAGCACATTATATAATAAGTAATTTAAATTAAAAATGCAAAACACTTATCACACTGTGAAAAAGTGGACCATTAAAAAAAGAGAGACATATTTTCTGTGTTTGACATTAGCTTTAGAGAAGATGATTTAGTAGTAAATAACAAAACCTAATCTTATTTTTTACAGCGAAAATTAGAAGCTGAACTTCTTCAAATAGAGGAGCGACACCAAGAAAAGAAGAGGAAATTCCTGGAAAGCACAGACTCATTTAACAATGAGCTTAAAAGGGTATCGATTTAATATATTAACTATACTTGTATCAACGGTTGCTTTTTTTTTCTCATTCTTTTTTCCAAAATAGTGTTTTTATATAGTGTCATTCACTTTGAAACAGGGTTAACTTTGCTATAGCTGGTAAGATCTTTACTTTATAAAATAATTTCCATTTTCTGGCAACCTTGCAATAGGTTTGAAACATTGTATAGTATACACGTTCAGTGAACTAGGCCTGAGGCTCTAGAACCCTCTGATATTTTAAACTCTCATATACTTGTGAATTATTTTCATTGCAACTTATTCATCAACTGTCTTTATTAGCTGTAGCTCACAGTTTGCACTTCACATGAAAACAAGTAAATATAGTGTTGCCAGCCTGATGCCAGCCTGAACTATAAAACAGAAGCTTTGAATATAAGCCAGTGCTTTCAGTGTTGCTTCACCAACTATTCTGTAACACTTGATACTACATGGCTGCTAGGGCAACTTTCCTATAACCACAAGAGCTTGGTTTTTTCTCTGCCATATATATGAATATAGTTCTTAGCCAAGAAATAATAATTTCTTGGTTCAGAGATTGTAAGAAAAGAACATTACTAAGAGAGTGTTTTGTTTTCTGACTACTAGTTGTGTGGTTTGAAAGTAGAAGTGGATATGGAAAAAATTGCCGCTGAAATTGCACAAGCTGAGGAACAGGCTCGAAAAAGGCAGGAGGAAAGGGAAAAAGAGGCAGCAGAGCAAGCTGAGCGCAGCCAGAGCAGCATTGTTCCCGAGGAGGAGCCAGCCGCGAGCAAGACTGAAGAAAAGAAGGAAGACGAGAGCATTCCGATGGAGACAGGTAACCTGCCTGTTGATTGCAGAGTAAATGTTGAGGGTTTTTACAGCTGTCTTTAATTCTGATTTTCCTTTCTCAGTGCTTTCTGGAGGTCACTCTGTTAATCTTGCCTCTTGAATTATGCTCCATCTCACATACACATTTTTTCTTCCCAAATCTTAATCTCTTATAATAGATTCCCTTAAAGTGTTAATGTTGGTACAAAATAGGAGTGATGTGTTGCCTTTAGTCTGGCTGTTTGAGGTCTTGGGTATTTGCCCAGATTGAGTCATGTCATTCCCTGACTTGGGGATATAAAGTATTGACTGTAGTGGTTTAATGGTTAAGGGTACTGACCTGGAGGCCCACAGGTCTGGGGACTGTTTAACCCCGTGCTAGCGCTGTGACCTCCAGTCTAGGCAAGTTAATTTCAGTCTCCTCCTTTGTAAGTATTCTAGCACCCCCTCTTGAAATTAAGTTCCCAAGGATAAGAAGCAGATGGACATAAAATCATCATTACTGGATTTGACATGATATTGGCACTCAATATTTTAACCTTTATTGCTAAAATTGTTTAAACAGCATGTGATCCTTTCTCTTAAGATCAGTCATCTTTGATGACCTAGAACAGTTGGGCAAATAAAACCTGCAGGCCAAATCCCGCCTGCCACCTATTTTTATAAATAAAGTTTTATTGGAAAAGTTTTATTAAGTTCTATTTTATTTTATTAAAGTTTTATTTGTTTACACATTATCCATGGCTGCCTTGGGGCTCCAGCATTGTAGTTGAGTAGTCGCAACTAAGACAGCCTGACTCACAAAAGCTGAAGGTTTTCTATCTCGTCTTTAAAGAAAGTGTTTATTGATTCCATCCTAGAAAAATTCATACTTCCAGTTCTACTGATTTTCCTGACTAAAAGCATGCCTCAAGGCAAACAAGAATGTGTAAAGCTTACGTGAAGTAAGCTTGTTGTTGGTTGGTTGGTTGTTGGTTGGAATCTTGGGGTCGCCCTGCGCACTGTTGTGACCCTGCCCAGTACGCTGTTTAGTAAACAGAACTGAGCTGGAGATACGGGAAACCGAAAGCTCCCTGGACTGTCATTACAAGAGTGAGAGGGGCCACAGTCACACTTGGCGCTCTGCTGACAACTTCTGTTGTGACATCTGGAAAATATTAAGTGGAATGTACTGTCTTTACCAGATATTTCTACAGAATGTAATTCAGCAGATTAACATTTCAGATAGTCAGATTTTAAGTTTAATTATCCGAACCTTTTTCTGTTTTGTGTGCACGTGTTTTTTATCTTAACAAATTTGGAGCATGAACACGTTTTGTGGTTAAAGCAAGAGCATGAGAATGAAAGTATGGTTCCTTCACTCATTTGGCAGCTGGAACAGCACTCAGCCCTCTGCCGCTGTTTTGTCATCTGTGAATAGAGTGTGCCTGTAGGTCTTTAGGCTTCCCAGGTGGCTGAGTGGTAAAGAAAGGAGACCTGGGTTCGATCGCTGGGTCAGGAAGATCCCCTGGGGAAGGAAATGGCAACCCATTCCAGTATTCTTGCCTGAGAAGTCCTATGGACAAAAGAGACTGGCAGAATTCAATACATGGGGACACAGAGTCAGACACAACTTAGCGACTAAACCATGAACTCCATAGGTCTTTACCAAGTTTTTATCCTCCTAGCTGAAGGAAAAAAAACTGAAGAAAATAGTTTCAGACTACTGGAGCAATAACAGAAAGCAGTCTACCATGACTTATAACAAAATACTTTATCAGTCTTGTACCATTTCCTTACCTGCTTTCTCACTCATTAAATCCAAGCACTTCACACAGCATTGTCCAAAGAAATATGTCCCTGTGTAATTAGAAATGTTCTGCTGCCGACTCTTTTTAAATGAAATTTAAATGAAATTAATTTTAATAAGTCTTCAAATGCCACTATGCACTTTAGACTTAGAGCACATTGAAATTTGGAAGCTAAATTTTCAGCAGAAATACTTTATCTGTATTTACATTCAAAATTTACAGTTAAAAAGTAGATTTTTTACCCAAATTCCAACTTGTTTTAAACATGCCAAAAGGTCCTCGGTCACGCTAGTCCATCTCAGGTGCTTGATATGTGTATTCATGTGTAGTGAATGGCTGCCTTATCATTGGATGCTGCAGCTCTGGACTGTCAGCACAGTTAGAAGAGTAAATTTTTGTCTGAGAACTAACAGTGACAAATGTGTCATTACAGAGGAGACACACCTTGAGGATACGACAGAAAGCCAACAGAATGGTGAAGAAGGCACGTCTACTCCTGAGGACAAGGAGAGTGGGCAGGAAGGGGTGGACAGTCTGGCAGAGGAAGGGACCAGTGATAGCAACACTGGCTCAGAAAGCAACAGCGCAACCGTGGAGGAGCCACCAACAGATCCCGTACCAGAAGACGAGAAAAAAGAATAAATGTTGCCTTGTTTTATGTGTTCTAAATAACTTTTTTAAATGAAAAAATGTTTTTTGAGTTTTAATGGTGTTATGTGGTTTGTGTATTAATATTGTTCTTGTCCATATCACACCACCAAAGGCTTTTGGACCATTTAGCATCACGAGCTGAATGGCACAGTCACCTTTTGTAAGCGGTTGCAAAGATGATTCTTTGGATCTTGTTTCTAGCCCTCAGCTGCTGAGAGCCTCAGAATTTAGATTAACTGAGAAAATGCCCACCTCTTTTAGAGAATTATCCTTTGATGCTGCAGAATCTACTTGTACAAATGCCTTCCTACAGCTCACTTGGGTGCTTACCAAAGCCATAGCTTTAAGCCTTCCCAGTCCCCATCAATAGCTTCCTGAAGGTCTGCTTTCCTGTTTCCTTCCACAAAGAGCAGCTTCTTGAGAACATAATCATGTATGAGTATGTATTTGTTCACTTACCCTTTTTTATTTTTCATCAGTGTCAGATATCAAGAGTTGTGTTAATGTGTTGAGTGTACCTACAACCACACTTGGATTATATTGATCCAGAAATAGTCTCCATAGTTAGTTACTGGCTTATAAAATAGTCATTAAAGTGAACATGGTACATATACACTTATCTATACTGCCTTTTGTTATAATTAATATTGAATATGTTCTGGTGAGAGCTCATCTTTATTGTACAGGGGGAAAAAATACTTTTTTTCCCTGAGTTTTCCAAAGACAGAGTAGATCACAAAACTAAAGGAAGTAAATACTCTCGTAATGGAGTATGTAACTTCAAAACAATTAGCCCATTCTGGAAAGAAAACAGCTGGGAATTAAGGTTCATCCACTGGAAATTGTTTTACAATAATCAAAACATTTAAAACCTCAAGGCTCAGGATCCCATAGGTCAGAGCCAACCTTTTTGATAAACTCTTAGTAAAGTCTTAGAGACTAGAAGCAAGATAGTTTGTGACAAATATGCATTCTAAAAACTAGAATAGATTTTTACTGAATAATGGTATAACTGATGGTATATGTTTCTTAAAGGTCCAAATGTAATAAAAAAAATGGAAAAAAGAGTCTCAGTGTTCTTGATGCAGTAAATATTTTCATGCAAGGCAAGCTGATAATTCTGTTACTATAATGTAGTGACAACATAGAGGGGCCTTTCACAGCTGTTAATGAATTTGCTTATCCAGATAAGGTCCTGTCTCACCAAAGTACATAAACTGCTGTAAGTAAGTTCATTTGTACAAGACACTTGAGAAAATGCATTTCTTTATATTGTAGTCAGGTCACATGGTCTTCAACCCCAAAAGTAGTAAATTTCTACATTCACAAATGAGAAAAAAGTTTTACACTGACAAATATGTCCAAATAATGGTAAACCCTTTACTTACATGTGGATGGCTTGTCTATATGGACAAGACTTGATTTATAGTAAATTCACTGCAACTGAGCTCACAGCCCACAGTGACTATGACTGTCCAGCCTCCTGAGAGTGAGAGGAGGAAATGAAACAGCTGGGAACACCCCTTGGTACCTGTTTTTTTCTTAAAAACACATGGAATCTTTCTCCTGTTGCTTTCTGAATCAAAAACTAGTGTATCAGGGACTTCTGGTGGTGGTCCAGCAGTTAAGAATCCACCTTCTAAAGCAGGGGACACAAGTTCGATCCCTGGTCAGCAAACAGGTCTCACATGCCCTGGGGCAACTAAGCCCTCACTGCAACTACTGAGCCCACTCACTCTAGACCCTGAGCGCTGCAGTGAAGACCCAGCACAGCTAAATCTTCAAAAATAAACTTTTTTAAAAATCATGTATTAGTTCTGGGGGTGTAGGGTATTGTAGGACTAAGAACTTCACCCAGCTCATCCCGGACAAACTGGCTATCCTTTTTAGTACATTGTCAAAACTGGGCAGAGTGGTTAATGTGGGTGGTAAACAGTGCTAGATCAAGATTGCTCTGGTATTGAAGTCTTAAAAGATGGAAGTGGTTCCTTTGCTAAGCTGGAGATGACAGGGAAAACAAGTCTATCTAGACTGAGCCCGCCCATGCAATGCTAGAGCAACAGGCTAAAACCAAGATGGGATTTGGCAGCTTTTAACCACAGGGCAGGAAAATCAAATTAAAATTCTTTCCTATCAGAGTGATCATGCAGAAAACCCTGGTGTTTGAGTTGTTTTCCTAGTTTCTTTAAGAAGGTGGCATATGACAAAGACAGAAATATAGATCAATGGAACAGAATAGAAAGCCCAGAGATAAATCCACGAACCTATGGTCACCTTATCTTTGACAAAGGAGGCAAGGATATACAATGGAAAAAAGACAACCTCTTTAACAAGTGGTGCTGGGAAAACTGGTCAACCACCTGTAAAAGAATGAAACTAGAACACTTTCTAACACCATACACAAAAATAAACTCAAGATGGATTAAAGATCTAAATGTAAGACCAGAAACTATAAAACTCCTAGAGGAGAACATAGGCAAAACACTCTCCGACATAAATCACAGCAGGATCCTCTATGACCCACATCCCAGAATTTTAGAAATAAAAGCAAAAATAAACAAATGGGACCTAATGAAACTTAAAAGCTTTTGCACAACAAAGGAAACTATAAGCAAGGTGAAAAGACAGCCCTCAGATTGGGAGAAAATAATAGCAAACGAAGCAACAGACAAAGGATTAATCTCAAAAATATACAAGCAACTCCTCCAGCTCAACTCCAGAAAAATAAATGACCCAATCAAAAAATGGGCCAAAGAACTGAACAGACATTTCTCCAAGGAAGACATACAGATGGCTAACAAACACATGAAAAGATGCTCAACATCACTCATTATCAGAGAAATGCAAATCAAAACCACAATGAGGTACCATTACACACCAGTCAGGATGGCTGCTATCCAAAAGTCTACAAGCAATAAATGCTGGAGAGGGTGTGGAGAAAAGGGAACCCTCTTACACTGTTGGTGGGAATGCAAATTAGTACAGCCACTATGGAAAACAGTGTGGAGATTTCTTAAAAAGCTGGAAATAGAACTGCCATATGACCCAGCAATCCCACTTCTGGGCATACACACCGAGGAAACCAGATCTGAAAGAGACACATGTACCCCAATGTTCATCGCAGCACTGTTTATAATAGCCAGGACATGGAAGCAACCTAGATGCCCATCAGCAGACGAATGGATGAGGAAGCTGTGGTACATATACACCATGGAATATTACTCAGCCATTAAAAAGAATGCATTTGAATCAGTTCTAATGAGATGGATGAAACTGGAGCCCATTATACAGAGCGAAGTAAGCCAGAAAGATAAAGACCATTACAGTATACTAACACATATATATGGAATTTAGAAAGATGGTAACGATAACCCTATGTGCAAAACAGAAAAAGAGACTCCTATGTATAGAACAGACTTGTGGACTCTGGGAGAAGGCGAGGGTGGGATGTTTCAAGAGAACAGCATTGAAACACGTATATTATCTAGGGTGAAACAGTTCACCAGCCCAGGTTGGGTGCACGAGACAAGTGCTCGGGCCTGGTGCACTGGGAAGACCCAGAGGGATTGGGTGGAGAGGGAGGTGGGAGGGGGGACCAGGATAGGGAATACATGTAAAAAAAAAAAAAAAAGATACACTATGGTTGTGATAAAAAAAAATAAATAAATAAAATTTAAAAAAAAAAAAAAAGAAGGTGGCATATGGTCAAGGTCCTTGTCTTCCATATCCCGGTAGGCATTGGGCATGTCACCGAAACTCTCTGAGCCTCTTTCAACATAAAATAGACTGAACTACTTTCAGTTCCCTTACTTCTCCACATAGACATGAATTTCTTTTTTTAATGTTTAATATTTAATTGTAGGATGCGGGATCTTTAGTTGCAGCAGGTAGGATCTAGTTCCCTGACCAGGGATCAAACCTGAGCCCCTTGTATTGAGAACTCGGAGTCTTAGCCTCTGGACCACCAGGGAAGTCCCACAGTCATTATTTTTAAAGCATTTGTTTTGAGTATGAATGCATATAAAGTTTGAGGGCTTACATTTTTATTCATTTTTAACAACAAATGGCAGAGGGGAATCCCCAACAGTCTCCTGGTTTTCTTACAGGAGTTTCAAATGTCATATCTCCCCATTTATCAACAAGCATGACTTTTTAAGTAACTCTCCTGCATTACATGAAAATGACATACTCTGTAGAGCAGAGCTTTCAGGAAAGTTAACTAGAAGGAAGCTCGTTTTAACATAGAAACATCCCATGGAAAAGATAAGATACTTGACTCACTATATTTGAAAGAGAATCTGGAGCTTAAATCCCTCCAAATTTTTAGTTTTGATCCTTCCCTTTTAGAGACTAGGTTTTAAACAATTGGTGCTGACAGTGTGAAACTCATTGCCTGCCATTAAATTGAAGCTGTGGCTTCTCGTGTGAACAGGCAATGAAGCTGGGATTATACTGTGTTAAATCCTCACTTCAGAAATCACTCCCTTCTACCCTGAAGCACTACCACACGCAGTCTCCCTGCCTGGCTTCAACAAGGGCAGGAATTTTATCCTATTGCTTATTGCTGGGCAAAACTTGCTGGAACAATAATTACCTTCTTAATGATTTGCACATTAGAGGGCTCAGTGTCTACAAAAAAAAAAAAAAAAAAAAACCACTGTGTAACAACCTGAAAGGAACTCTGAGCCTTTTTAGAAGAAATCATGCTGGATTATCATCTGGTTTACAATGATGTTTCTTTGATCAACATGGTAGGGGAAATCCTGAGTATAGTCAAAAATATCTACAGGTCTTAGTAATCATAAAACTGTTTATAAACATCTTAATATTAGGTTCAGTTCAGTTCAGTCAGTCAGCCATACCAGACTCTGCAGCCCCGTGGACTGCAGCACGCCAGGCTTCCCTGTCCATCACCAACTCCTGGAGCTTGCTCAAACTCATGTCCATTGAGTCAGTGATCAACCATCTCATCCTCTGTTGTCCCCTTCTCC